CAGGGAAGTCATGGAAGCAGTAACAGAATACATGTTCCTGGGCTCCAAGATCACTGCAGATGGTGACCGCAGCCATGAAATTAAAAAAAACCCTGCTCCTTGGGAGGAAAGCTATAGCTAACCTAGACAACATAATAAAAAGCAGAGACATCACCCTGCCAACTAAAGTCCATATGGTCAAAGCGATGGTATTCCCAGTAGTACTGTATGGCTGCGAGAGTTGGACCATAAGGAAGGCTGAGTGCCAAAGAACAGATGCTTTTGAACTATGGTGCTGGAGAAGACTCTTGAGGGTCCCTTGGACTGCAAGGAGATCAAATCAGTCAATCCTAAAAGAAATCAACCCTGACTGTTCCCTGGAAGGCCAGATAATGAAACTGAAGCTCAAATACTTTGGCCACCAAACGAGAAGGGAGCACTCACTGGAGAAGACCTTGATGCTGGGAAAGACTGAAGGTAAAAGAAGACGGGGACAGCAAAGGATGAGATGGTCAGACAGTGTTATTGATGCAATGAACATGAAATTGAGCAAACTCCAGAGGACAGCAGAAAGCAGGAGGGCCTGGTGGGATGTGGTCCATGGGGTTGTCAAGAGTCGGACTCGACTGTGCGACTGAACAACAACAAATTCACATTGCATTTAGAAGGGCAATTCCTGCAGAAGCAGAAAATTGCATTTCCACAACGCCACATTAAAACGAATTTGCCTGATAACGCTGAGAACATTAAGTACTCTTCACTGGCAACTTGCAGAACCTTTGACTATTATTTTATTTGCTTCTCCAAAACATTCTACTAAAATTAATGGTAAATACTGGAAAGGACATTCTAAGTCCCGTGAATGTCTGGATGCTTTGAGGCCTTTTGAAGAACCTCTCTGGAATACCCCTTTTGAAGAACCTCTTCAGAATACACGAAACAGGAGGACACACACTGCAGCCCTCTACAAATACTAACCACATGCTGCCCCACACTCACATGAACCCTGAATGTATCTGATTCACATTGTGAATTTAATTAGTTGCAGAAAAACATCTTGCATCAGTCCTAAGATGCTTTAATATTACTTCGTTGGCAGCACCGTCCCACCAGATACTGCAAGGAGAAAACGGCTTTTAATCACATCTTGAAATGGCCATATTTAGTGTTCACATGCTGTGCATATTTATGAGCTCTGAGAAGCCAATTCAAAGGCTGCTTATCAGTCATTAGAACTTCCTCCAAAAGAATAAGGAGACAGACAGCTTCAGAGTATTTAACTTGGGTGTGCCAGCATGGCATAAATCATTCTCGCCTCTAGAAATTTAATTCAAAACAAAGAAGCGTTATGTACCTAATCATTAAGCCTAGCTCCACAGAGAACCAAATAGCTTGATTACCTTTAAACATTCCTTCCCTCATTAAGGAGGCATGTATTACTTCATAGTCCTTTACATTACTGTAGAATTTTAAAGAGGTTTTCGTGGGATAATGAAACAAGTGCTAACAGAACATTGTTTCTGCTAAAGGCCATCCTTGATTTTCAAAGCTCATCTATCCCATTTTATATGTGTATATGCTCTATTAAATATTAGTCAGCATTTCCATTTTAACTTAACCATTCACTCTAGAAAAAAACCTGTTCATTCTCCAGTGTCAAATGTACAACAAATGTCAATCTATATCCAAAAACAATCCTGGGGAAAATAACTCCCATCAAGTCATCAATTAACTCATATCTAAAAAGGGAAGTCAAAAGTGGGAAACAACAACCCACTATAGACAAATTCCTATTTCTGGAGCAGAACAGTTAATTTTTATAACCACATGTTGAAAGTAGATTTCTGTGTAATCTGCAACTATCAACACTTACTCCTGAGGAAGAATGAAAAATGGATTCCAGCCAGAATAGCATTTCAAGAAGAACTAAGGCATTAAACTACATCCCTTAGTTTGAGAAACTTATTTCTAAAAGAAAATAAAGAAAGAAGGACAAGAAAGAGAGAGAGAATTTAATTTGGAAAAGACTAGTAAAAAGTGCCTTTTGAACACATACTTCAGATCCTATCAGTAGTCTTTAAAAAGGTTTTCTGGCTTGCCGAGCTGCTTTCTTTGAATTACATGTTATCTTTGCTACCACAGGAGAGGTGTTTCATTCGCAAATGCCAGCCAGGTCTCAGATAAAACAGCAGCAACCTACGTAACCCTCACAGGTCTACATTCTGGCCTGTAGCTACAGTGGGGCTATTGGGGGCTCTACTCCCTTCCTTAAAGGGCCAGCCCCACAAAAAAAAATTGAGAAGATTTTAAAGAAGAAGTTCCTTTAAATACTTTTGAGAAGAAGTGGGGGGTGTGCCCCTCTACCTCCCGCAAGATTTAAAGGGCCCTCCAGCTGATCAACAGGCCATTTGCTCCTCAACGATCAGCTGAAGGGCCCTTTAAATCTTGCAGGAGGGGAGGGAGGGGGTGGCCTCGAGTCGTCAGGCTTAGGGGCAGATTGGAGCTGACATAAAAATAATGGCAGCCCCACCAGAACATTTTTTGCCCCCACAAGCCACAAAATCCTGGCTATGGGCCTGTCTACATTCAGAGAAAATTCAAGTCATCCTGCACACCCAAGGAGCCTTTGTGTTCCATGGCAAGTCTCCTTTGAAAGGGAAAGAATTGAAGGACTGTTTGTGATATGGCCTTGGGACCTGCTGTTTTTCTCAAAGGGGGAAAAACAAATGAAACACTATGTCCAAGCCCTTGGGGACAACTAAAAGCCCCAGTGTATATTTCTGCTTAACCAAAGTAGCTTCCTATTACCATGTTAGGCCCTGGTCACACGGCAAAGTTGCCGCGGGAGAGGCACGGGAGTCCTGCGGATTTTCCGGGCGTGATCTCACTCCAACATCTGGGAAGCGCAGTGCTCCCGTGGCGAACCCGTGGCTCCCCGCCGAAGGTGCGGAGTTAAAAACTAGTACCTACGAGGTACTAGTTTCCTAAAACCACAGGACAAGGGCGGATGTCTGATCGCGTTCCCGGTGGACTGACGTGACATCCGGTGCCCGCCGCTGTTCGTCTTCGCAGGTAGCGCCAACAGCGCCCAACAGCGCATGCGCACAAAGAGTGATTGCTAGTGCAATCGCGCCGCGCAGCTTCTGTGCAGGATACCCGTTTGATCGGCATTTCCGTGGCTTCTGTGCCGTGCTACAGGATACCCGTCTGATCGGCATTTCCCCCGAACCACGGGACCTCAACCGGGACGTGTGCTCGGGCAGCTGCGCATTAGTTTCCTCTGGGACAATTAGCCACGCCTCCTCCCCACGATATCCGGCCCGTGTGACCGGGGCCTTAGTTCACTAAAGGGCAGGAAATGACATTCTCCTGAAAACCAATGTAACGTTCCTACTGCTCATGCCAAGCACACAAAATGATAGACGAAAAGTTCTAGGTAATGTGAAAATTCGCTCACTAATTGGCAACATTTTGGTTGGTCCTAATAAAAATCATATCACTATTGTTTCCAGATTTTCCCTCGTAATGGACCAGCACCGCTGCCCACATTTTCTTGAGTTCGTATTGTTTCTGTAAGCCCTAGAATTGCCCTAAAAGGCAGGACCGTACAATTATACTCATAATGCAAATGTCAGCTTGAAGCCAAAGGGAATTAGTTGCAGCTCATGAAAGTTGAAGCACAGACTTTCAGAGCATGCTGATCACATTTTTGGCTAGGATCTGAAGTGACAGCATATTAACAGTATCAACAACACTGTTCTTGAAGGCAAACAGATGTGAGAAAAGGGATAATATTTTTCATCTTTAGGTCTCTGGCCAAAGGTTCCCTCACCATTTCACATCCACACAAAGCTACGTAACAGTATCAAGGAAACAGTGAATTTGTTCAGCATGCAGCTCCACAGTAGATTCAAAGTTACACGGCCCCCTAGGGGCAGCTGCCATCTGTTAATTTTAAAAGTAGGGCTTGCTTTAAACGGTCAGTTTATTAAGAGATGCCAGGGCATATCTATCGGGAAATCAAAAACTTGTGATCTAAATATCCTTCTCTACAATGTCAGATCACAAACACTTCATTGTGATAATTAAGGGCTATTTCACATACTAGCGCAGTTGTTTTTTTAGCAGGTGTCCAGATAAAATGTTTTGTAGGTACACCTTAGAAACACAAGTATATACAGGTAACAAAAAAGGCTTTTTGACTGTATACATCCTACAGAATGCCCCTCTTGCTTAATACAAAATGGGTGGCCACAAGTTGGGTCTTTTCCATGGCTCTGGACTGGCCTCCCACCAAATTTCATAAAGCACCATCCCTGTGGTGGTTTCCCCTCAGCTGCTGAAGATGTGCAGGTTTCTGAGATCTCTTCCTGCTGGACTATGGAGCTACTAGTCTAGTGAAACGCCTTAATACTTGTTCTTTAACTAGTTGGCTCCTACAGTTTTACAACTTCTGGTTGTTTTTTGGCAGAGGGGTTTAGACTTCGTATCATACGCTGTACTTTTATGCTTTTAAAGACAAGTCACAACCCCCCCAGTGAACAGGAGAGAAAAGTGATAGCCCAGTCTCATTAGATTTTGGAAGCTAAGCAGGGTCCAACCTGGTCATTATTTGGATGGGAAACCTCCAAGGAATACCAGGGTTGCCACGCAGAGGCAGGCAATGGCAAACCAACTCTGACACACCTCTTGCCCTGAAAACCCTATGGGGTCGCCATAAGTGAGCTGTGACTTTACGGCAAAAAATAAAAAAAGTGCGAAGAAGTGGGGGGGATAAAAATCAGCAGTCAGAACTCTGTAGATGCTCAGAGGCATTGCTTGCTTGCCTTCTTGGAACTAAGCCCAAACTCAAATCAACATATATAAAAGTCCTGAAAAGTACAGACGATAACGGGAAGGGGCTCGTTCCCCCTCCACCTATGGACCTCCGGACCTAGGAACGCTGCGTGGAATCCCCAGCGATGCGCCCGGGCGGGTCTCATCGGCTGCCGACCACTCACTCGCTCTCGCCGCGTACTCACCATCTCTTTTCGGAGGAGGGCCAAAGCCGCATCCAGGTTCGGGGGCTTGGGCGTCCGCGGGGACCCTCGGCCCCCTCCGCTCCGGCTCAGCTCATCCTGGATACGAGATTTCTGCGCGTAGAGCCGCTCCAAGTCCCGCCAGCGCCCTCCGGCTCCGCCCGGGCCGCCGCTGGAGGAAGAATTCAGCAGCCCGCTCAGGCTCTTGGGCAGCGGAGGCAGCCCCCCCGCCCCGCCAGCCTCGCCCCGCCCCGCGGCCTTCACTTCATGAAAGGGGAGGAGGCGGAGGCGGGGCAAGACAAAGGAGTACTTGATGCGGAAGGGAAGGGGCGTTTGTTTTTTAAATGACGCCCTTGTACACGCCTTTGAGTTACACAGAATGCGTCCAACCACCCCCACACGGGTGCTCATCTTTCCCACCCAACTCGTGTCAGGGGCTCTTTAAAAAGATATGGCCGCGAGGCTGGCCTCCCTGAGGCCCGGGGAGGCGGCCTTCGACTCCTGGGGGCAAATTCCACCTCTGGCAAATCCCACCTCTCTCACACGCAAGAGGTAATTGTGGCTCTCCCAGCTCTCGTTAGGGGCTCTTTAAAAAGTTATGGCTGCGCAGCTGCTGGCGGCGGCAACTGGGGGGTTGGGGGACGTTCCCTAGGATGCAGATTGCAGAAGGTCCTGAATCCCCAGCATTGCCAGTTAAAAAGGAGCAGGCAGTGAGTGATGTGAAAGACAGTCACCTCAGCCTATGACCCTGGAGAGTTGCTGCCAGTCTGAGCAGACAGTACTGACTTTGATAGCCCATGGGTCCGATTCAGTGTAGGGCAGCAGTAGAGAGCCAGTTTGGTGTAGTGGTTAAGTGCACTGGATTCTAATCTGGGAGAACCGGGATTGATTCCCCACTCCGCCACTTGCACCTGCTGATGTGACCTTGGGTCAGTCACAAGCTCTGGCACAGCTGTCCTCGAAAAAGAGCAGTTTGTGTCAGAGCTCTCTCAGCCCCACCCACCTCACAGGGTGTCTGTTGTGGGGAGGGGAAGGGAGTTTGTAAGCTGCTCTGAGACTCCAAGTGAAGGGCGGGGTTTAAATCCAATCTCCTCCTCTTCTTCTTCTTCTTCATTGGTTCAGTTGCAAAAGTGGAAAGATGCATAGTTTCCTTCAGTTAGGCAGATCTGAGTGAGGCAGTGGGGATGAGAGGAACATAAAACAGATGGAGTGGCATTTGTGCAAGCTTTTAAAAATTCTGAACAGTTTTTTCATGCAAAAAGAAGAAGTAGCTCATTCTCTGCAATGGAGTAGACTGTGGAGGGGCCAAGGGTCCGTGGCAAAACATCTGTTTTTGTCCATGTAAGAACCCAGGTTGAGTCTCCAATATTTTTTGGTTAAACGGATCAAGTGATGTAAAAAGCCTGTACTTGTTGAGACTCTGGAGAGCGGCTGCCAGTCAGAATAGCCCAGTGTTCTTCTGACCATAGCTCTCTAGGGTCTCGAGCAGAAGCCAGAATCAGCTGGTCTGGCTTTGCTGTGAAACTATAGAAAGCAGTTGCTTCAGACAGCAGATTCCACAAATGGTGACTATTTTATTACCTCCAGTTTGCATATGTATAGATCACTGAAAGAAGTTGGTAGAATCTGAGAGTTGCTTTGACTTTTCACACCAAGAGCCAAAATATTTAAGCTTGGCACTCAGCCCTCCTCCCTGCGAATATTTAATTGTTTGCTGGAAGGATTCCCTACCTCTCCCAGCAGAAACCTCCACTGTAGCCACTACATGACCTGTCTTCTCTTCTTCCCTACCTATACTCAGTTGTATAAGAAAGCAAGGAGCCAGCATGGACTGAACACCATTAGGACTTGGAGCATGATCAGATGCACCAATTCAATATCTGAGGGCCAAGTTAGATGTGAAAGGGATCATGTGTAAAGCAGTACACGGAGGAGATCTACTTTTCACAGAAAATACAGTGGGCAGATGAAGGAAGATAAAGCATGTCCTCTCATCACCCTGTTTATTGTTTAGTATTACTATTATTTAAGACATGTATTAGCTGCCTTTCTACCTTGTGGCACTCAAGGAGGCTTACAATATAAATAGAACAGTTATAGAACACATAAATTAAGACTACCAATAAAGACAAACTAAGGTCCCTGCCACACGGCAGGGAAAAGGACGCTCGAACTGCGGCTAATGTGAGCCGCAGCAAAGTTGAGACGGTGCGGCGGGATCTCACGGATCCCCCGAGCTGTGGCGCCATCGCTCCCCGGCACGATCAGATGCCGGGGAGAAAGCGACGGTGGGGAGGGGAGCCTGGCGAATGGCGCGTGCTCACACATGCGCAGTTCGGCCAGGAGCTGGGCATCCTTGCGCTGGCGATCCCACGGTCAGCGTTGCTGCGGCCCATCGAAAAGAACCACCTCGGTAGGTGGGGTTTTTTGGGTGCGGAGCAGCGCTGGAAGGGCCGGATCAGGGAGGGAGACGGTACGCTTCCCAGATGTTGCGGTGGGATCGCGCCCGTTTGCTCTGCCCCCGTTCCGTCCCGCTCCCGGCCCAAAAGGCCTCATATGGACAGGACCTAAATTAGTCAAATGCAGTCCTAAATAAACTGTCTTCAGTTGCTTTGAAAATGAGGGGGCCAGGCATTCCACCCTGGGGAGTTTGTTCCATAATTGTGTTTACCTTGCTATGCAACACTTTCCCATAGCCCAGCTTTAATGTTTCCTCCCCACACAGACACTTTACACATGTGGATATGTGAATAAATCAATGTGGATCCCACAGTAGGATGGTATAATTTGGCTTACACTCTACACACAGATTGATAAAAGTCATGAAAACTATATTTGCATCTGTGACAACCAAAATAGAACGTGTGTTACTCTGTGTTGAGACAGCTGAAAATCCACATAAAAATGGAACTCTGCTAAACTTTGTGTAGACTTTCTTCTAGCAGGGTCTGATTCCACAAAGAGTTAGGCATGCTAGAGCACCCTATGTCCAAAGGTTTGAGACAGACATTGGTATGGTGATTACACACCTTGCTGCTATTAAGAAGTGTTCCATTTAGTAATGCATAATTCTGTAACTTTGGTCTTTAATGCAATTTTCTGATACAGGGGTGAAAGTATGCTAGTACAAGCTGGTCCAGGGTAATGGTAGGAAATTGGACAAAGTGGTTTTTCTTAAACTTCTGCTTTGAACTTTTTGAGAGACTACCAGTAAGAAATTTAAATTACTTTCACCTCTGGTCTGGATACACATAAAAATCGACAGATGACCAGATCAAGATGTGCCAGTTACCAGAGAGACTGTTTGAATAAAGTAAAATCGGCTTCAAGGGGTTTTTTTTATTTGTTCATTGTGCAACATAGGTATTTCATCATTAAGTGGAAGATAACAGCCTGTCTCGTTCACAAACTACATGTTTTCCTTTGTTTTACAACAACTCGTTTTGGATGAAGTCACTAAAAGACAGCTGTGGTTCAGTCACAGGAAGCAAAGGAAATGGACTTCAGTGACACATGTGGAACCTGGACGTCTTCTTGCAGGAAATAGATAAAAGCTCAGGAAGCTGCTGTCTGAGCTGAGGAACATACGTATGCAGCAGCATAATTCTTTCAGAAATGGGCATTTAAATGATCAACTAGAGATAAACATGTTACAAAAACAAAGGAAGAACATGATGTTCTTTGAAAGCTGAGAGACATTGGTGCGACTAAGTGTGAGGCAAGGCACCCTAATTTCCCTCAAGGGTTAACATGATTATTAGCAGACCTGCTTCACCTCACAGGTGTCCATGGTTTGGGACTTCCTGTAGATATCATCCTAATCTCTTTCAAGGCCAGAGTTAAGAATGAAGTAATCGGTTAATCATAAGAAACTGTGCTCAGCTGTATAATCAGATGGGAGGAGGAATTAGGAGCAGATGTTGACGTTCTCTGGAAAGTTCCATCAAAAGGGATTCCTGATTGGCTCCCAAGGACCACCTGATATCAGAGGACAAAAAGTACACTTGCCAGACCTCAGGTTGGGGTGGGGGTTCCCTCAGTTTTTAGGGCTTCTCCCCACCTCCAAACAGCCACGTCCCTGCGTGACTTCCCCGATGTGATGATGTCACCCAGAAGTGATGTCATAACACTAGGGACACTCTGGTTTAAGGGCAAAACTCTATGGTTTTATGCCGGTTTTACCATAGAGTTTTGCCCTTAAACCAGAATGTCCCTGTGCGATGCCCCTGGCATGATGACATCACTTCTAGGCAATGCTCCCTCTAAGCTCTGAAGTCTTGTGAGCAACAATTCTACTTTGTGAGCTACTGATGTTAATGTTGTGAGCAAGCAATTTGGCTACTGCATAAATTAGTTTACTCTGGAGCCATCCATCCTGAGCTAAGACAATAATGTGTGAGCTGGAGCCTAAAAAAACTGTGAGCTAGCTCACACTAACTCAGCTTAGAGGGAACACTGCTTCCAGGTGATGTCATCACATCGGGAACATCCCAGACCACCACCCCCAATCCCCCTGCCAGAGTGACAAAGGGACTTGGCAACCCTAACAAAAAGCTATAATAAGGACATAGGCCAAAAAGAAGCCATGCTAACTTTATCCTTGTGCCATGCTAGTATGCTTTGATATGCCATGCTACATCATGATGGACTGTAATGTATAGAATGCTTTAGGCTACAGCTTGGCTTCTTATGCTGCAAAAAGGTGTGCCATCTAATACCAGGTACTAAATGTTGCTAAGTTATAGAGACCGTACTGCATAGTGATTCCCCCCCCCTTTTAACTGTTCAATAAACCTTTATGTAGTTATACAAAGGTCTGCTTTATTTGTGTACATTTAACCTCAAGGACCCACAGGGCTGGGTGCTGCTCAGGTAAAAAAGAGTGGTGGCCCAAGGGAACCCAGGCATGGGTCTGTGACATGGTGACAGAATGGGATCAAGCCTTTTGCACATAAGTGGCCAGTGCACTCTCTAGGTTGAGTAACGTGGTTGTTGTTTTGGTTAGTTGGAATAGAGATGGTAGCAGCAGAACTACCAGAGGATGGAGCTGGAGGTTACCCTTGTTCAAGATCCAGATATGCAATCCTGTGATGAACTGCACTTAGAAGTGTTGTACAAACAGCTAAACGACTGTGAAGGGTTAATTCTTCACAGGAATATAGAGCCTTGAGTGACAGGTTGCTCCAAGCAATCTGGTTGGTTAACATCAGCTGAGCAGGGAGAGACTTTAGAGTTGAATGCTGAGGAGGAGAATTCATTTGAAATTCAGCCCTGACTGAGAGCAGTTTAACACAGACATGAAGCTGAGGAAAGTTGGCAAGGACTAGTGGGTAGTTAGATGGAGACTTCCTTTTGGGACAAGGAAAGGGGATAGATCTTCTAGAGAGAGAATGAATTTCCCTGCCCAGTCT